GAGAGCATGCCGACATCCTTCAAACGTCTTGGGTTTCGTAAAGCATTTTGAATTCGACTGCCCCGATATACAAATAACCCATGGCGTCGCAACAATTATGTTAAACGAGAAGCTTGCGTTCGGGCTCTTGCGAAATCGTAAGACTACCGAAAAAGCTTCAAATTATGATTAGAAATTGTTATCAAACGGGCCTCTCGCACGAGCATGTCGGAATCGTTCAAACGCCCTCGCGCGCGTGCTGTCACAAGAACTCCTCGCAACAAAAACGGGACGATGTGCACGCGCGCGCGTCGTCGCGCGCGCATGCCGAAATCCTTCAAACACACGAGGTCCCGCAAGGACTTCAAAACGAGACTCCCGAAAACATATAAAAAAAGCACATGGGCTTGCAACACCAATTTTCAAACATGCCTGCGCCCGCATTCCTGCGAATCCTTTAAATAACCACAGAAAGTTTGAACATGTTCACTAAATTCGGCCAAACGGGCCCCTCGCGCCGCACGTCCAAATCATTCAAAGGCTTGCGCGCGTGCTGGGGTGGGCACGATCCGGGTCAAATAATGACATGCGGGCCACTCTCGCGCGTCGGCTGCGCGCGCATGTCGAACTCCCTCCAAAACCTTCGTCGCCGACGCGAGGGCGCCGTCATCGTTGTCGGCGTGATCAAAATCGGCGCCGTCACTGGCTTTGCCGTCGTCGTTGCCATCATCGAGACCATCATCGCTACCATCATGGCGTCTACTGTTGTCGACGCTGCCATGATACCGCGCCCGCCCAAGTCGGCGACTCGCACTGAAGTGCCCGCTGGGAGGTGCCCAGCGATCAGCGCCACCGCGGCCGCGGCGGTAGCGTCTAGCTGGCCACTGCGCGCGCGAGCATGCGCGGGCTAGCGCGGCCGCAGGGATGCACCAGCCAACTCGAAGTACACATCGCAGTCGCCGCCGCATGGGTTTTGCAAACCAAATTGCGGGCTGGTGGGTGGGATGATTGCGCGAGCAGAGGAGCGGACAACTCACTGCAAACAGAAACGAATTGCACGACATAGATTGCACCACATTACTTGCAAGGTTTGGATTGCACAACGCAGATGGCATAACACGAACTGCACAACACAGGTTGCGCACATCACATAGCACAACACGGATCGCACAACATAGATCGCACACAACAGATAGCACAACACAGCTTGCCCCACGCAGACTGCACCACATAGACTGCAAAGCACAGCTGCCACAACACATGCTGCGAGAACCACACCGTCTGGGGTCCAACGCTCGCTAACATTTGAGTTCGGTCGAAAACAAGCCTACCGATGCAGGCCCCGAAATCCCACCCGGTGCCGCACCCTCCCTGCTCTCGCGGGGGCCTGCAGCGTAGTCTGGAGGGCGGCTCCGCCAGGAGCGCTGGGGGCCAGGAGGACAGCGCTGGATGGTGGCAACTGGCGCCTTCAGGCACTGAGGTCTGCGTCGCAGAGGTACGCTGGCAAGAGAAGGTAGGGGAGGGGAGCGACGAGGGAAGAGGAGCGGAACGACGAGGGAAGGGGAGGAGCGACGAGCGACGAGGGAAGCGCGAGGAGCGCCCAGCGAGGCGCGAGGCCCTCGAAGACTGCGCAGCGCACGAGCCTCGCGACTGCGAGGCGGCGCCTCGCGCTGTGGCCTCTGACGCGCGGTGTGGCCGAGGCTCGGGCCTCCCGTCGGCGGCCTCCCGGAGTGCCTCGGGGCCGCCGTTGGGCCCCTCGCCGGGCTCTCCTGGGCTCCCCCTGGCGCTCTCCCCGAGGGCCCCTTGGGGTCCTCTCGGCGCCCCCTTGGGGGCCTCTCGACGCCATCCTTCCGGGGGCGTCTGGGGGCCGCCCGGGGATGCGCTGCAGCCAGGTTGGGGCGGCTTGGGGCCGTCTTGGGGCAGCCTTCGGGCCGCCTGGGCAGGCATTCCTGGGACCCCTGTAGATTTAGGTCGGGCATGTCCCCCTACAGGCGGATTGTGGGAGAAAAATGAAAAATTGGCCACCACACACACACACACACTATATATATATATATATATATATATTAATATGTATATATATATAGATGTGTATAGATATATAGAGAGAGAGATTGTATGCAAATTGGTAAATATATTTTATATATATATATATATATGTATATATACACATATCACATATTCAACAAATGACAAAAAATGTAAGAGAAATCGTCCCCAGACTGTTCTTTTACTATGTTTGAAGTTCCCTCCTGTAGAGGGACAGGCCCGACTTAACTGTAGAAATCATCCCGGCGTGCCTTGTTGAAGGGGCCAAGAGACACACTAATAAATACACACAAATCCCAGGATTCCCCATATGTTTTATATGTTTGTGGATTTTCTTTTTCCCCTCCACTTCCCATATTTGTCATATGTTCGTCGGAATCGACGATTAATTGTGGCTGTGTGTTTTTTCCCCTCCTGACTTGTGGCCTCTCGGTGCCGTTCCGGGGGTGCGCTGGGGCCACGTTGGGCCGACCAGCCAGGCAAGACCAGGCTTCGGCGCTCCAGTGCTCCAGTGCTCCAGTGCTCCAGTGCTCCAGTGCGCTGCTGGGGCCAGTCCACAAGAATGAAGGGGCCCCAGGACACACAAATAAATACACGCAAATAAAAAGATTCCCAATATTGTCCTATATTTTCTGGGTTTTTGTCCTCCCCCCCACTGCCCATGTTTTCCTACAGTTTCTGGGGACTCGACGATTCATTGTGTCTGTGTGTTTTTTCCCCTCCTGGAAAGAGCCTCCCACGAGAAGCCCAACCCTGAGACCCCGGGACGCCCGTCGCCGTCCGGCGTGGGGGCGCCACGCCTCCCGCCGCAAAGCCACCGACGCCCGGGCAGCCCCAGGGGGGGGCACCCTGGAGGCCAGGCAGGGTGCTCCCTGGCATGGGCCCCCGCGGTGCCGCTGCGCCGCCGGGTGCCCCTCGCTCTGGACGCCTGGACACGCTGGACGTAAGTCGGGCCTGTCCCCCATACAGGGGGGGCTTTCGACGAAAAATAAGAATACCCAAACATACTCCAGAAAAGTCAAGACAAGACATACTCCAAAAATAGTCCCCAGATGATGTTTGGATTATTTGTTTGACTATTTTTGGTGTATTTCTTGTTTTTCGTCCAAAATCCCCCTGTAGGGGGACAGGCCCGACTTAACGTTGGACAGGCGCCTCTCGTGCGCTCGGCGGGGCCTCCCCTGGGAGCTCGAGGCCCTGCTCCCGGGCCGCCCGTCGGGAGCGCGGGCCCAGCCTCGGCGGGCCGCGGGACGGCGGGCCCGAGGTCGAGGAGGCCGGGGATCTCTTCTGCCCCGGGGCAGTGCGAGCCCGGGTCGGCCAGGCCCTGCAGGATCCTGCAGGGCCCTGCAGGAGCCTGCACTCAAGCCAAGGGTCGCTGCGCCCCCGTCTCTGCAGGATCATGCAGGATCTGGCGCCCTGACTGGCCCCGTTTACGTTGACCCCTGTCTCTTAAGCCCCGAGAAAGGGGCCCCCCCTGTGGGCTGTCGCCGCCAAGATCTTTGGCGCGCGCTGCCGCGAGCAGTGTGAAGTACAGATCAGATCGGGCTCAAGCTTCGCTTCCCGCGCCTCGCCGAGCAGCCGCAGAGCCCGCTGCCACTGCCTGCCTCTCGCGCACGCGCTTATCCCAGCACTGAGGCTGACCACGTCGGACTCCAGCTCCGCATCCTGCATCTCGCTCAGCAGCGATAGGACCAACTGCCACTGATTACCTTTCTCGCACGCGCTCATCCCAACGTTGTAGCTGACTGTGGTGAACCCAACGTTGTAGCTGACTGTGGTGAACCTTTGGGTAATGTCCACGGCAATCAGATGGATCTGCTCTCCAGGGCATCTGCCTCGGTGGGAGGGGAGAGCAGACGGAGCTACCCGCTGCGTCTTGGGCTGTCTCGTGGCCGTCATGGGTCCTCCAGGGCCGCGTTGGGCGGTAGTGTCCTCCTTGGATCGTTTGGGAAAAACTTGGGCCCATCTGGTCCCATATCAGGCGAGACATGCGAAAAGACCAGTGGCATTTAAAGCCACAAAGAAGTGAAGTGTGTTAGCCTCTGAGGGATATCGAGATATTGTGGGAGTGGCGTCGTCGGGGCTTCTTGGGGGGCCATTTGGATCTTTTGGAAGCAACTTGGGCCCATCTGGTCCCATATCAGGCGAGACATGCGAGAAGACGAGTGGCAGCTGAAGCCACAAGGACGTTCGTAGCGATGTCAAGATATCGTGAGAGTGGCGTCGTCGGGGGTTCTTGGGGAGCCCCTCGGGAAGCTCTTGGGGACATAACGGGGTAGTGGATCCACCTTGGCGGCTGTTGAGGCCATCTGGGAGCGGTCTGGGGGCAAGTTCAAGTTCGTATGGGGGGCTCTCGCAGGCCCCTCTGACAGTGAAAATCTTGGCAGCACTGGAAGTACATGGGCAACCATACCTGTGTTCGGCACCAGCTGCGCACATGCGAGGGCGCCCGAGGCAGAGCCCCAGGGAAGAGCCCGAGCGGACCCGCACCCCTCACAAAACCCAAACGGCCAACACTCGCACGGCCTGCATGCTGCACTCCGTCACTGCCGACTGGAGAACCGTGCCTTGGCCCTGTTGGGGCCTGGGCCCTTCCTGGTCCGTCCGGTTGGCCCGCGCTGGACCGCGGCGGCGGTCAAGGGGGGGGGGGGCCTCCCGAGGCCACACATCAGGCCGCCTCGGACCCGTGAGGGCCCGGGCCCGTGGCGCGGTGGAGATCCGGAGGCGTGGAAGCGGCAGCAAGCAGAGCATCCCGTGCTCGATGTGCGCGGCCTCTTGGCGGCATCGCGGGGCCCCCCTTCGAGGTCTCTTGGGGGCCATGAGCGGCATGCTGGGGCCCGTCGGCGTAATTTGCGCCTGTCCGAGCGGATCCCGGAGGCGTCTGGGGGGTGCTTCGAAGCCGTCCTGCAATAATCGTGGGCGAGTCTGGGGGGCGGTCTGAAATGGTCTGGGGGACTCTGGAGCGTCAGGGG